TGGGAGGTAATTCATACATCAACACCAATTGGGTTTTTGCCTTGAAAATCAAGTTATGGGACATAGTAAATCATATGTCCCATATTTAATTTTCAAGGCAAAGACCCCAATTGATTATGTGAATACGAACTTAAGCAGACGAGGAAGATGCAAAAAAAAATTTGAAATAACGATATTGGCCGATGCCTAACTCCCGGGTTGATTAAAAATCTTTTTAGCAACTAAAATGCAAAATAGGATACAATTTTGGTCTCCTCAATATGAAAATAAGTACAATACTTGCACACTATTCTATCACTAGAATGTCGCATCTATGAGATGCTCAAAAACGTTCTACACATTGTTTAACCAATGATCATAAGTTATATACTGCATTTCAATTGGACGATTCACTATGTTCCGGCCGAGCCGAACCACTGCCCTATAAGAAAAATGTACCGGATTGGCACGGGTTGTTTTGGATAGGCACGAGTCAAGGTCCGGATGGTTCGAGTTTGTACGCATTCGGTGGACCGAGTGGGACCGTATGACCATGCCAATTGGACCGTAAGTGGCTAGGGTTTTGCAGCAGTTTACTAGTCGAATCGACATGGGATTTGACACGGGTAATAACACGTAAATTTACGAGCCTAGTACGCAAATTCACAACCTAACTCAATAACTAGTAGATTGTCATACGTGCTATCACGTATCATTCGAAACGTACCACTCCGTATCTTTCAAACGTGCCACTCCGTATGACGCACCTACGCGTACCACAGAAAACATACCATTACGAACATTACCGAAATTACCACATGCCACAACCGGAACATTTTTCTTAAAGGACGGAAATATTCGGCTAATAGCCAGGTAGGGTCCGGAATGGGCCGGGTCGGGCCGGGTTTTCATAAGCCCGGTAAAATTATCTTCAAGCCCGACCCGAACCAAAACCCGGTTAAACCTAGACGGGCCGGGCCCGGGTCGGGCTGACCGGGCTTTATCTAGGCCCGACCCGGCCCGTTGGCCCGCATATATAGATTGGAAGTAACTGTTAAATCCAGAACACCTGATAAAAATTAGCTGAATGACGATTCAATTAAGTTTGCGCAGATATGTGGCTTGTCGTTATAATGAGTTACTCTGTTTATATTTCTATTTAATTCTGTAATTCACTTTGTTCGTAAGTATAACAGTATAATGACAACAATAAAGATTTTTTAATAACCGGTTAAGAAGGAAAAAAAAATAAGTTAACTCGGGTGATGAATAAAATTTATTATTGTAAAAAAAAAAAAAAAAAAAAAAAAAATACAAATAAATAGTTACTATTATGCTACGTATACCCAACAATTTACCCATCATACTACGTATATTTAGAATCTGATGTCCTGAATCAATTTATCATGTTACATCCAAAATCTAACCCGAATCTAACTACCGTACATCCCGAATC